CACCACTGTCCTCTTTCATAATCATGAATAATCATGTCCTCTTTCCAAAACATTTCATGGGGCTAAACAAGGCAAACTCTTCAAGTAAAATATGCTTCTCAGACACATCAGTACCTCAGGACTCATGACACCCTTTCAAGGGTGCTATGGTGCTAGTGAAAATGTCCTGTGTGACTGTTTCCAAGAGGCACACGCTGGGTTTGCATCAAAAGCAGCTGCAGCGAGGGGGGGGCCAGAGATGTGGCAGAGCTGCAATCTACTGCCCTGCATGCCCCGGGGAAGGAACATGCAGACAGCAGATCACAGCTCTGCCACAGCTCCAGACCACACTATCACCACTGCGAGATCCCAGCTCCAGACCCAGAGTAGCTCCCCACCCAACCATGCACTCTGCCCACGCTGCTGGGGCTTGTCTCCATGGAAAACCTGGCCCCAAGCTGTCAGGGGTGCTGCTACCCCCGGGGTCTCCATGGAAACCAGCTGCAGCATTATGGGCAGAAGCTGCTAGGAAACCAAGTACAGCTGCCAGCCAGATCTGCCATTTTGCCCACCCCGGTCTAGCCCCACAAACTGCCTGAAAAGACAAGTGCAGGGCAGTTTAACCTGATCTCTCTAGTGATGCCAGTGCCAGCACACTTGAGAGTACAGGGAGGCATGCTGCTTCCTGCATTAGGTTTAAATCAGAAGTGCCCCTCCTGCTACAGCCACTTCCTGGTTTGGCCCCACACATACATCCTGGAAAAAAATGATATAATGCTAAATTCAGGAAAGTTATGGAGGTTCTGTAAGCCTAAGAAGGTCAAGAACCAAGGCATTAGTGAATCACAAATCATCCTGTGATCAGCTAGCACATTCAAAGTCTTTCTTCTCAGTCATTTCCAACTGATGAACCCCCAGAACAGCTTACAGCAGAAAGTCTTGTTATTAGTGCAGTATGCAAGGTTATGTACTTTGTGCATTAGAAATAGGAAATTTAGTAGTCTCCAAGTCCTCAAGGTCATTCAATCCTCCTCTGTATTTACAATGCCTCCCAACTTTCATTACCACACTTCTACTCTTTGCACTAAGGTCACCAATGAAAATGGTAAAGATCAGTTTCAGGTCTAATCCTCAAGAGGTTCCATTAGAGGCCTTCTTCCAACCTAATACTTTCTTTTCAACTTGGTTGTTATAATTCCTTTCACCAATTCCTTGTCTACCTCTCTGTTCTATCACTGATACCCTCTTCTTCAGCTGAAGTAAATATTTCCATGTGGCACTGCATCAAGTGTTTTACTGAATTCTAGATGGATTTACAGCATATGCATTAAAAAAAAAAAAAATCAATTATTTTATCAAATAATCTTCCTTTGGTAGGACCACGTTATATTTCATTCAATTTTCCATCTACTTCAATGATACTGTCATTGCTTTCAAAATTTGTTCCAAAGCCTTATCTATCTATCTAGCTATCTATCTAGTGAGGTGCATAGTTGCTAGGACCACTCCCCAACCCCATTTGGTTTCAAACACTGGTTCTCTCAGTCACATGGTACTACTCCTCCACTTGACAGACATATGGAAAATCCTTGCAAGTGGTCCTGTGACTTCATGTATGAGCATTTTCAGAATACTGGGATACTTTCTGTTTGAAATGTAATAAATGGGAACTGTAGGAGGCAAGTATTCAATAAGACTCCTTTTATATTCTCGCCACACAGATACACAGCAGTTATGCACAAAAACAACCCAGGAGGGCCTCCACCATTTCTAGAGCCATAAAGGAACGTAGGACAGGTTAATGCTGGTTCATACTTTCTGCCAGCAAGTGTTCTAAAGGTTCAGAACTCTGAACCCATAGTGAATGAAATCTCACACATTAACACACTAGATCCAAGGTATATTAAATCAAATCTGCTATGTGATGTAACTTTGTAGGAAGACAAAAATGTTTAAGTTTTGGGTGCAGTCTTTTTAGATCTCAATACATGTTATGACTGTAAAGCGACTATCTGGAAAAGGGAGTGTAGCCTTGTAATCCTTACCTCTGAAGCAATAGCTGCAATATTAACATTGCTCGATTGCCCATTCATTAGGTCCATACTGCTCACACCATTAGTCTTCTGCCCTACATTTACAACAGCAGGATCATCATCATTTCATCTCCAAGGCAACAGGGTAATCATTCCTACAAAAGAATGAAAAGAAATCAGAAACAGCTTGTGTGGATGTCTTAGAAGTCAAAATTGTAAGGATTCAATGTATAAAATACATTAACGTCAAGTGCAGCAAAACCTTACTAATATTAACAACCAGCCTTTAGACTCAAAACACCAACATCTGGATTGTCTATTTAACAATATATTGCATACATCAAAACAACTTAACAGGACAATAATGATAGACTAACTTATTTGAGGCAGGGGGTAGACAAACAAGTTACTGCAAGGTAAGCTAGAGTGTGAATTTACAGCATGTCAGCTACTCCATGGCAGCTGCCCAAGTGCACACTCCGATTGTGCAGTAGTCATGAAATAATTTACCCCTCAAAAATGGGATAAACTATGCCATATTTACCAGTCAGTTTAAATTCAGACCCTCAATTTTTTTTGTATACCACTATGGATATTGAGTACTTTGAAGCCTAATCTACACAGAATGCCATAATTTGGCGTTATGGATATTATATACATGATTGTTAAAATATGGTTCCTCATCTCTAAACAAAATACTTTTAATAATATTCTGGTATTTTTTAAATAAGTTAATTTTTTTAATGAAAAAGTACCCAATTGTTTTGCTTCATATTTCTGCTGGCTTCAAGCAAACCAAACTTATCAAATTAAAAGCACCTCTCAGTGACAATAGTGATCAGCATGATACAGAGCCTACATAAATCATTATTTAAATTAGTGTTTAGCTATATATGCATCATTAACTTGCTGATACTTTTTAGTTCTCGTTTTTACACACAAAAAGCCTGATTAAAAGTGAAAACTGTTGGGCCTTATTACAAAACAATAAACTCATCTAGTTAGTATGTAAATACTACTGATACAATAAAGATCTGTTTTTGATTTCATGAAGTACGAGTGCCCCCTAGTGTAAAGGCTTAGATTCTTGCTTAGTTCTTAAGAAGCAATGGGGATTTTTGGTGGTATCTTTTACTGGATCAACTATAGTCAGGAAAGATGTTAGACAAGCTTTTGGGCACAAAGTGCTTTCCCTTCATTTTCAAGGGTACTGCGTTCAATTCGAATACTACTTTCCCTATTTTTTTTCTTCAAACTATGAACATAAAATATAAAACAGTCCAGTTCTTATCTGAAACTTTTTGAAAACAGATAGATTAAATGCCAACTATGAACAATCCCATATGATTAAAAATGTCCTGCTTTAAAAAAGGTCTTATTGTTTCAAGCACAGTAAAGCCCACTATACATTGGAATGTATCAACTTTGTTTTGTAATTTTAAAGAATTATCAACTTCTGCATCACCATAAACATGCACAGATTATTTTGAAATCATTTGGTATAATTTTCATTACTATATCTGGCATACAGATAAACCTGAAACTAACAAAAAAGGTGATAAGAAATAAAATAATTCAACATGTCCTTAGAAGTCCAACAACTAACTGCAGTAAAATAAAAGAGGAGGCTAGTTTGAAACACTAGCTCAAATCCCACCCTGCAGCCAAATGCTGTAATGGTCAAGACACTGTTGCATGCTACCGCCACTTGTCTGATTCACGTTGAGCTGGTCCTTATGCAACTTACAGAAGCAAGGCCACTGCTCATATTTTAGACTGTAGTTTATTTCTCTGCTATAGTCCAGGTCAAGGATGTCAAATTCATGTAGTGAGAAGTATTGAATTCTACATTAACTGTGGTTCTTGGACTGAAATAAAACACTAGGATGGCATATTTCCTGCCACTGACACCAGAATACCCACTGATATCAGTGGGAAGCTTGTAAAAAAGCCAAGCCAAAATCTAAATTTAGAAGACAGTTAATAGAAGATGACTTAGTGAGAAAACGTGCTTCTCTGGCTTATGATTCCTCTTTCCCCCCACCTCCACTGTCAATCCTCCTTATCACACTCAATCTTCATCTTAGTTTCTCCTCTCCATTTCCTTCCCTACAGAAATTCCAAATCCACATTCCCACCCTTTCCATTTCATCCACTAAAATGAACAGCAATGTAATAATTCATTTTAACTTTGCAAAGTCATCATTTTCACCTATGCAATGAGATAAAAGGACAGAAGTCTACAACGCCAAAATTTGTTTGCAGACCTAAGGCACCAACACTGCCTCAAATTCTCAACTGGAATTTTTTTTATTTGTATGAGGGGCAGAAACTATTTTTAATTAAAGATTAAATTCTACATGATTTTATCATGTCATATTTGGTACATCCATCTGATAGGACAGCCTGTTTGACAACCCTGGTCTAGATTATGTCCCTTTTTATTCATTAGAGGGGAAGGAGCAGAAAGGAGAAAAATATTTTGAACAAAATAAAATAAAGCATCGAGTTGAGTTTCTGAAGTCAGCTTAAATGAGGCTGTTACAAAACAAAAAGGAGTAAATACAGAAACTAAAGCAATGGCTGTCAGTCCTCATGCAGTGAGACTTTCTACTAGTTGTGCTCCAGTTCATGGCTCTGATTTGCTAAAAAGCTCTTTAGGAAATATCTGGCAGGCTGACAAAATAAACAAACCTTCTAAGGCCAGGCTCATAATACTGCCAAACAGATAAGATAGTCACTGCCCTGGGAAAACATAAATGGGGAGGGACAAGGGAAAGGGGGAGAGGGAAATCAAATCAGACTTGGGACTACCCAACAGCCTAGCCCAACTACACATTCCCAGTGAAGGGCACCACATAAGCTAGAGCAGGGATGGGCAAAGTGTGGCCTGCAGCGGTTCCCTCAGTCCCGCCTGACCCAGGCAAAATCCAACCATGGTGCATCCTGCTGCGCCCCAGGCATGCAGCAAAATTGGGGTGGCTCCATAACCGGACTGCCTTTCTAGGCAGCCCAAGTGGGGGCAGCTCCTTCTGGCTGCTGTCGCCACACCGTGGTACTGGTAGGGACCTGCACTGCACAGCCCGAAGTCCACCCCTGTGCCACATTCACCTGCCTGGGCTCAGCAATGGCAGTGCAAGACAGAAGCTGTTGCTCAGTGCAGGGGAAAAAGAAGCCCCTCCCCATCCCGCTGCTACCAGTTCCCTGCCGCAGCCGTGTACAGCCCATGCTGGGCTGCCCCACATCTGCTCTGCACTGCCACTGCTGCCCTGCAGGGCAGCCTGGAGGTGACAGCAATGGCGGCGGAGATGCAGGACAGCCCAGCACAGGCTCTGGGCAGCTGCAGCAGGGAACTGCTGAGCAACAGCTTCTGTTTGGCACCGCCACTGCTGAGCCTGAGTGGGTGATCCCAGAGCAGACAGAGCACTGGGGGGGCTGACACCATGCAAAGCAGGTCCTTACCAGTGCTGCAGGGCTGGGGCAGTGACAGCCCGAAGGAGACACCCCAGCTGCCTAGAAAGGCACTCAGGTTGTGGAGCCATCCCAGCCCTGCTGTATGCCCAGGGGCTGTATGCCACAGGTGAGCTGGGTTGGGGCTGTGCCCAGTTCCCACTGCTCCGCTCTGCCTAGGGTAAATCTGGAGTGGGCGTGGCGCACACTGGGGCTGTGCACTGCTGGTCGTGGTGGGGAGGCACCACAGGGTGCATGGGCTCTGGGCTGTTGGGGTGCAGGTGCTGACTGGCTCAGGGGGCTCCTATGCATACCCCACCATACCCACAAACCCTCCCTCAGTAAACCCCACAACCACACCCTCCCCACCACACAATCACACACCCCAGAAATACTGTACCCACCAACACCTTCCCCCCACAAACCCCCATGCACCCACACACCCCAGCCACCCTCCCCTTCCACATACCCCATATATCCCCTCTGC